AACATAACATAGTTTGTCTTTCCCCAGTACCAATACACAACCCACACTATGTCTACAGAGCCTCTATAGATAAAGTAGAGTACAATGTTAATGCTGGCAACAAGGCCCCGGCTATACCTCAAACCGAATACACAAAGTACAAAAGATACATGACCCCGGGATGAAGTGGGGCTCACCAAGACAGCTGGGAAGAAGGTGTACTGCTATCACTGATCAATATCTCCTGCTGTGGAACCACCTGCATCCATTTAAAGATGTAGCGCCCCCGACAAAAGGGACGTTAGTACCGTCGAATAGCACTAGTATGTATAACTAAACACCCTCTCAATAGAATAAAAAATAATACAAACAAGATTATCATAATAGTAATGAAATCCTTAATCAACATCAAACCTCAATTTAGGATCAAGATAGTGTTCAAATTAATTTCCATATCTCACATTGAGAGATTTTTAGTATCGATATACCATTGTCCACAATATGGGGGATTTTGTCTAAACTTCCCTAAAGTGAATATTTGAGTTTTGAACATCGATTCAGAGTCGGAATTGAGTGAAATTAATATGGTTGGACTCGTAATTGAATGGGTTGTCAGATTTTATGGGTTGTGCTGAGTTCCGAGGTGCGGACCTGGGTATGACATTTTGGTTGACCTTGAGCAATTGATTAAACATTCGACCTTTATCATTTGGGTTTGTTTCCTTTGGGATTATTTGATGATTTTGAGTTACTTTTGGCTAGTTTCGAGCTATGTTTTGACAGTTCCGGTAGGTCCATATCGTGATTTGGGGCTTGGGCGCATGCCCGAAATCAAATTCCGAGGTCCCTAACCTGAGATATGGAATTTTGAAGAAACAAATTAAAATGTTTAAGTTCGAATAGAGACCGGATGTCTAATTATGTGAAAACGAGCCCGGAATAGAATTTTGTTGATTCCAACAGCTCCGTATGGTGATTTTGGACTTAGAAGCGTGTTCAGAATTTTATTTGGAAGTCCATAGTTAAATTAGGTTTGAAATGGCTAAAAACAAGAATTTAAATTTGGAAGTTTGACCGATGAGTTGACTTTTGATACCGGAGTCGGAATCCAGTTCCGAAAATTTTCATAGCTCCGTTATGTTATTTATGACTTGTGTGTAAATTTTGAGGTCAATCGGAGTTGATTTGATAGGTTCCGACATCGAATGTAGAAGTTGAAAACTCTTAGTTTCATTAAGCTTGAATTGGGGTATGATTCATGATTTTAGCATTGTTTGATGTGATTTAGAGGTTTGGCTAAGTTCGTATGATGTTTTAGGGCTTGTTGGTATATTTGGTTGAGATCCCGAGGGCCTCGGGTGAGTTTCGGATGGTTAACGGATCAAAAATTGGACTTAAAAGTTGCTGCAATTTTCCCTTCTGCTGTATATTCTGGGCTGTGATCGAGCCCCAGATCGAACCCTGATATCGAGCCCCAGATATCGAGCCTACGATCGAGGCCTGAGTCGAAGCCAGGGACGGGGCTCAGTATCAAAGCCACGATCGAAGGCCCATGCTCGATGCCCTGATCGAAGGCCCAACCTCGATGTCCTGATCGAAGGCCCAACCTCGATGCCCTGATCTAGGCCATGACCGAGGTCTAGGCTCGAGCCTGTGATCGAAGCC